AAGAAAACAACCAAGCTCAGAGAACTCCCAAGGACTCCACAGTTCAACCCTGAGCTACACATATTCTCTTCTATTGAAACTACAAGTATGTCAGGCATTGTGAAAAGCATTTTATTAAGTGGGGTGTGTGTGTGTCAAGTCTTTATATAGGGTACAGAAACAAATGATACATACATTCAATATATGTGATGCATCAGAAAGCAACAAATCAAACAATAAAAGACATTGATTAGACTGGGAAAAGACAGACACCCTTAAAATACGTTGCATCTCCTCCTTTCCCACCCAGCTTATTTCTTTAATACTTGCAACACTCAAGGACTTCAGAATACAGCCCTATCAGACTCTGAATGGGCTGGTTTTTGCACATCAAAGGAAATGGCTTTGGCTAAAAGAAAAAAACATAGTTTCCTAAACTTGAAAAGGAGGCACGGATGCCATGCTAAAATGCTAATGTCACCTTTATTAAAATGCTAATCATAAACCCTAAAATTCCAGATAATTACAGGCACAAGGAGGAGAGAAGGGGGAAGGAAACAAAGCCTCCATTAAAGAAGCAGCATCTTCACTGGTGAGGGAGAGGGCCAGGCTTTATTTTTCCTAGTTTTATCCACGCTATGTCACCCTTTCACTCAGATCCTGTAAATCTCACATCTACCAATCCTTTATTTAATATGGAGTGGGTTATTCTGCCATCCTCTGTGGAGAATTCCCTCTATCCAGGAAAGCAGCTACACTTTTTAGAAAGTAAAAAAAAAAGTGTGTAAACATTCTAGAGGAGGAAACTGGTTTATTTCACACCTCTTATGGTGGTGTTAGAAGATGACGCTGTTCTGAGGGTGTATTTCAGCTATTTGATACACAGGACAGGTGCTTGAAGTCGTTAGGATGTATGGAGTACAAACATATGAGATAGTTTAAAGCCGGTTCTTGTATTTGAAAACAGCTTTTACTGTCTTTTGGAGCTGGGCGGCCTAACAAATTCAGTGGGCAAATAAAGTATACATTCGCCGTACGGTAAATATCACTTAATTTAATTCTACGTGGACAATCGTGTTTCCTTTGACTCAGGGAAATATTTAGAAGCGTTTTGGATTATCCCAAAAACCAATTATTAACGTCCCTGTTGTCATATACAGTATACCTATAAAACACAAAGGACGCTTAAGAATGAGACGTTCGTATTAAACACCATTGCGAGGAAACCAGCGCAACCGCGAGGAATCCTGGGAAACCCCTTCGGGCCCGCCCACTTTCCATTCGCCTCAGGAGCGACGCCGCCTCCTCAGGTTTCCCGCTCTTATTAATATTAAACAGCCCTCGTGACTCGCTCTTCCCATTAAAGGAAGATGAGTAGGGGGAAGAGGTGGGAACACCACTATCCCCGCCTCACAGACCGAGTCTGTGTGACCGTCGCCCTCCGTGACGTCATCGGTCGGGGCCGCGGCCTTTTGCACAAGGGAAGGGAAACCTGGGAATAGGATGGCGGCGGGGCCGACGCGGCCCCCTCGGCCCCGGAAGGAGCCGCAGCCGCTGGTCATCCCGCGGAGCGCAGCAGAGGAACAGCGCCTCAAGCTAGAGAGACTAATGAGGAATCCGGTGAGGGGGCGGGATATGTGTTGGTGGGCGTGGCTCCCTGCCCCTTGGATCTCCCCAGCCTTCGGAGGGTGAGAAATGAGTCCTGGCTGGCCTAAACCAGCTGGGGGCACTTAGTTCTTTGTTACGATCATCTTTTGTTAGCCTGTTTGAACTGAACAGAGAGGGAGATTTCCCCTCGTCATCCAAATCGGTCCCGTTTTTCTTACGATTGCGAATGGGTATCCCCTCCTTCAGATACTTCTATTACGTCCCTGAGTAGGAAGGTTAGATGCTTCCCTCTCCTCAGCAGGATGATTAGTGTCACTAATTCTGCCCATCTCGCTGCTGGTTGGTGGAATATGGGACTGGATCTGTCAAGGCGGTCTGATGTCTGTGCATTCAGTATTACGATGTTTTGGATTCTCTCTCTGTAGTTAAGCATGGAATACATGCATGGGTTAAAATTAGTCGTCTTTCTTTCCACTGTTAGAATCTTTCTACATTTTAATAGCTCTGAACAATTGCTCTCTTTAGAAGCATCAGAATGTTACTCATTTCTCACTGCAGGATAAGACAGTTCCAATTCCTGAAAAGCTCAATGAATGGGCACCCCGCCCACCTCCAGAATTTGTCAGAGATGTTATGGGTAAGTTGCGGGTTTTTAGTTTTGGTTTTTGTTTGTTATTTCTAAAGAACAGGAGGGAAAATAGGCTTGGATTTTGAGGAGTAGGGTTGATGGTGTCAAGCAAAAAAGTTTGAAACATGTTTCAGAGGTAATTCTTGGTACCATTTTGCACTTTGCTGTTGGCCTTAACAAAATACATTGGATTTCTCTGATCCATGGACGTTATTGTAGTGAGTTACCTACAACTCTGAATCCCCTGTTTTTTAAGTAATGTTTCAACTTTATAATCCTAAATGGAGAGATTTTGAAGAGTGACTTATTCATACCTCTATATGTGTTGTGAGAAATTCTGGTGTCCAGTGATGACAATTCATAGTATAATTTTAATAGGATGCTGCTTTCTCAGAATCTTGCCCTTTACTTAAAAGCAAAGATAAGCCTCTAGCCCTTATGGCAAAGCTACAAAATGGATGAGAAATGCCTGCTATATGAGCAGCCAAAAGTATTTGCTGAATAAGATGACTGGGGCTTTGCTTTGCATGATTTACTTCAATGCTTCACATAATCGAACTTCTATGTACCTAACAAATTTGTATCAGTTATACAAAATTATTTTTAAGTGTATAATTTCACATTATTTAATGCACAGTCTTCTGCCTGTGATGAAACCCAAAACTTTTTCCATTGGTGCTAGGGAATATTAACAGCCTCTGTCAAGACAAAGACTAATCATTACAACAAAATCAGGGAACATAACTGATCACATTTGTTCTTTTCTAGCTAGAGGAGGGATAAGAAGAGAGGTAGAGCAGAGGAGAAGTAGAGTAGAGAAGGGAGGGAACAGTTTTTCTAGATGTCCACAGAAGTCCATAGTAAGCTGGTATTAGCAAAGTGAGGAATCCCTCTTATATTTGCATTTGTTTTTAATTTTTAATAAAGTAAGTAGCCACATGCTTTGTAGAAGATCTGCTAATGTCTAAAGGTCTTAGGGTTCACATGACTGTTTTATTCAGTCTCTAATTAATTTTAAATTCATAAAATGTAATGAATTCACTTTTTAAGTTGCCATGGGGATTGCTGTAGGCAACATTTAACACTGGGGACATTTAACATTGGATAGTGGGACCCTAGCAAGTAGGGTGATCATACAAGTAAGTCTAGCCAGGATTTAAAAAAAAAAAATTCCTGAATTTTGAGCTCTTTCATAGTTTCAATTATATTAAGTCTGTTTAAGGATTATGTTGGAATTTTCATGTATTTCCTGTGGTCAAAATGGTGTTAAACTACATCAGTGATTCTTGGCAGTTGAGCTTGGGGTGAGCTATGTGGATTGCAGATAAAAATTTCAGTGTTTCAGATCCAACAGAGTTGGGACCCTTGAACTGTTGGGGATTGAGATGGAATATTTTACTTCTGTCATATCTGTTCTTGCCCTTTTTTTTTTGGGCAGGTTCCAGTGCTGGGGCTGGGAGTGGGGAATTTCATGTCTATCGGCATCTGCGGCGGCGGGAGTATCAGAGGCAAGATTTTATGGATGCCATGGCTGAGAAGGTAAAGTGACTTTTCCCCAAAAGCTTTGGTATTGATATTGAATACCCTGAGGAACCTCGCTAGGCTGAATCTACACAGTGAAACAAAAATTGTATTCGATTGATTGTATGTCCCTAAGTTGGTATCAACTCTTTTTTTATATATGTCAAGTTTATTTACTTATCTTAATAATTTTTACAAAAAAGAATATAGAAAAACAGAAAAAAGAAAACATAACAACAACAAAAGAAAACAACCAACCTAGCAAAAAAGGGGAAACCCATCTCTTTCTTTCTCTTTCTCTCCCCATCAAATATCAACAATACTTAAATGTTTCTAAATCTAAATTAAAGAAAATAAATGATGATTCTGATTCTCTAACGTTACAAAATGTCATAAAATCAATACCAAACAGAACATATTGCATTACTTTTTGATTAGTAGCAACCTAACTTTCCCCAATATATATTCAGCATATATACATAGCAGTCCAGCCTTCCTCAGTATATGTTCAGCATACAGACTGAGTATATAAGAAGAGAATATACAATTTTGTCTTGCTTCTTTGCTGACCTGGACATAGTCTGTTTTGCTGTGTTCTGTCTGGACTGTGACTTCCTGTCTTAATTATAGGTTTTTCATGTAGACAATGAGTTGTTCTGGGATTCCTGTTTTTCTAAACACATTCCACAGGTTGACAAGATCAACACAATCAAAGGGCTTTCTGTAATCAATGAAGCAAGAACTCACATCTTTGGTATTCTTCGGCTTTCTCAATTATCCAGTGTGCAGGAATATATCTCATATTTCTCAGCCTTTTCTAAGGTCAATTTGAACTTTTGGCATCTCCCTTTCCATGTAAGCTCTAATCTATGTTGGATAATTCTAAGCATTATATTGCTAGGATGTGAAATTAAGGATATTGTATGATAGTTTTCAGACTCTGTTAAGTTTCCTTTCTTTAATTGGTATGTAGATTGACCTCTTCCAGTCTATTCTCCAGTTTTGCTAGCATGGTTTTATTAGAATCTTTACTGATTCTTCTTCTGCTTGTTACATTTCTGTAGATATTCCATCAGTTCCTAGTCTCCAACTTGGTAATGACCGGAATGCTGATTTAACTTTATCTTCCAGTAGTTCTTGTAAGTAGGAATATCTTCTAAGGTTTCTTGGATATTGACATCCCTACTGTACAGAATTTCAGTATGCTCCTTCCACTTGGTTTGTTCTCCTTTGAATCAGTTACTACCTGTCCAGAGGTATCCTTTAGCATACCAATTCAAGGTTGGAACCTCCTGAATTTAGAGATCTTTTGGAAGACTTTCCTTGTTTTTCTATTTTTCTGTTTCCATCTTCAATCTTCTAACAGCTCTCTGAAATTCTTTGTTAAGTTCCTTCCTAAGATCTTGGCCTTTCCTGGCTTTGAGTTCTCTTCTCTCCTTGGCAATTTCCACTATTTGTTCTGACATCTAGTTAGCCTTTTTCTTTTTCTTGGGCTTTGGCAGTTTGTTCTCATTCATCCTTAGCAATTTATTTGATTTCACTCCTCTGATTTTCTGTCAATGAGGTTTAGGACTTCAAAGTGATTTTTGACATTTCTCTTGTTTGTACATACTCAAGTTAATATCTGGCTGGCTCTCTTCTTCCACTTTAGCATCACTTGAAACTTACACATGAGTAGTTTATGATCTCTTTCACAGTCAGCCCCTGGCCATGTTTTGCTGTTGTAACTGAGCTCTTCCACTTCTTATACCAATAATATAGTCAATTTAATTGCTGTGTTCTCCATCTTATGATATATATGCATAATTTTGGTTGTTTGAAGAATGTGTTAGCAATGAAGAAACATTGTACTGGCAGAAACATATAAGTTGGGTCCTGCTTCATTTTGGTTTCCTGGGTCATACAGTCCAACTATGCTTTCTTTCCTTTGGCATTTCAGTCTCCAACCTTAAGTAGCACATCTTGCTTGCGTGTTCTGTCAATTTCAGATTGAACTTGATAAAACTCATTAACTTCCTCTTCTGCATGATCGGAGCATATAATATTGGATAATCATCATATTAAAGGGTGATTTGAGAAATTTAATTAATATTATTTGGTCATCATTATAGCCAAGCACTGTCTTTGCTTTTTCTTTCCTGACTATGAAAACAATACCATTCCTTCTTTGTTTTCCATGTCCTCAGTAGTAAATAATATGATCTTCTGACTGAAAGTGTCCAATTATGGTCTACTTCAATTTGCTGATGCCTAAGATATTAATGTATATTCAATTCATTTCATCTTTAACTGTGTGGAGCTTTCCCATGTTCATGTTTCTTACCTTCCATGTTCTCATGTAGTTTTGTCTTTGCATCTTCAGATTTTCTTTTTTTAGATGGCAACATCAACCATTAGGCATCCCAAAGGCTTTAATCTAGCCATACTGTAAACACCATTAATACTCTGAAATATAATACTCCACTCTTCTTCTGCAGCATGTTCAGTGTCATCCAGCCTGAGGGGCTTATCATCCAGCACCATCATCAGTCACTTTATATTTTCTGTCCACATGGTTTTCTTGGTAAATTCAGGAGTGGTTTACCATTACCTTCTCCTGAGCAGTATGAAATGATGCCTTTGCCATTGTCACTGAAGTGATCATCTGCCTCCAGAATCTTCCTGTATCTCTGCTGCCCAGTATAGATGCCTGCTTGCTTTAGCAAGGATTACCTTCAAGCCATTGCTGGGAATATTTACTCTTGGAATACACTCCTAGTGTTCTTCACTCATCTGTCCCAAGGAATACTCCCACACACGCATACCCTGGTGCCATGATGAAGCAGCATAGCAGGACTTGAGGGGAGGCAACAACTGTATGCCAAATATAAATTCATATTGACATAGTCTGTGTTAAAGTGCAAATCTGTAAGAAAATATTGTAGCATATCTGGACTCCTCGAGTGTTTTTATTCAGGGCTATGGTATTTTTTTTAGTAATCTTGGAATTCAGTTTTGGGCTTGCAGGAAAAGTTAAAGTTTGCAAACTGGGGAAGCAATAAACTGTTCTGTAAGCTACAAAGAGGTCTATTGTCTCTCCTCTCTCCCCTTCCCTCTTTGATCCTCTCCAAAAATAAGTTACTAAATACTCAGATTATTTATACCTTTTCTCTCCCCTTCATTTTCCTTCGTTTGCTCTTTTTTTCTCACCAGAATACTTTACTGATATTGTTCCTTTTCAACCCATTTTTTCTTCAGAATCTTTTAAACTTAAATTTACAAGCTAACAGTCTCCTGGGTACTCATATTCTGAATGTGCAGAAAAATACAGTTCCTTATTTTTGGATGATCACGTTGCCCTTACATAACATATGCAGCCTTCTGTTCCCAAAGCAGCCAGCTGGGTGTCTCTGGGAAATCCAGAAGCAGGACATGAATCAATAGCATCCTCCTGCTCATGGCTCTGTAGCAGCAGCTGAAAGAGAGCCTGTCTTCAGCCCAAAAGACAGAGAAAACATGGGAAAGAGAATGAATGATCATAATTAGTAATTGTCTGAAATGATGTATTCCTCTCTTAAGGTAGTCAAAATTACTGACCTTTGCCACTTCTTCTGGTAGTAAATATTCTCCACTGCATGGTACTAAATATTTTGTCTTGTATCTCTCACCAGTCATTTGATTAGGTGACTTCAGGTTCTAAAATTAGGGGAGGGAGGAAAATCTCATCCCCTATTTACTTTCTCTACATCATAAATACATTTATATGTAACTATGTTAATAAGACCCTTGTTTTTAGAACCTTGGCAGGAAACAAGTCTGAGGTTTATCAAGCCATTAAATAGCTACTATGGCTGGCAGATAGAATGTGTCCTCTGGGTATCAGTAGACTCATCCTAGTTCAGACGTAGAACTATGAAGTCTTGGAAAAAGAAATAGAAAAGCAGAAGGCTTTTTGAGACATTGAATTTGCTTATTCAGAAAGTTATTTATTTTTACTATGGTTTGTTGAATAAGCCATAAAGGTCTGGTTCATACAAACTATACTGCCTGTGTTCATGTGTTATAAATCAAAACTAAAGACACCATGTTATAGATTAGTATCTGAATGGAGCTATTGTATAGCAGGAAGGTTTTTATATAAAACAAACTACAACATTGGAGTAGTGATTTTGATGTAACTACTAAGTGGAAGTGTATGTTTTCAGTGTTTTAAAACCGTCTTTCCAACTTGGCACCCTCTGCATATTGTAGTTTATCTCCCATAATCTCCAGCAAGTTTCAGATTGTAACTAGCTTTTTTAGATGAGATATAATCACAGCTATGCTTAATTAGATTGGAACATTCATACTTTCAAAGCTACAACTTAATGCAAATCCATTTAGCATCATGGTAAATAAGGTGGCTTTTTTGAATAAATGTGCATTTTTCTGGTAAGTTTTATAAATTTACTTTAATAGAATTGTTTACAATTTTAGATTTAATTTATTGTATCTATTTCTTTTGATTCTAGCAAAAACTAGATGAAGAATATCAGAAGAAGCTCGAAAAGAACAAGATAGCTGCAGAAGAACAGACAGCCAAGCGTAGAAAGAAGCGGTAAGATCAAGCTGTTCTTGGTGGCTGATACCGAAACTCTAAAGGGCTTCTGTATTATCCACAGCAGAGCTATTTTTCCAATCCGTTCTCATGGGCTTTCCCATCAGCTTCTGCACTGCCCTGATTTGAGGGACATGCCTCATTTCATACTTGTCTTTTCTTTGTTTTTGGCCAGGAATATGAGTTACTTAAGTCCTAAGCTGTACAATTTTTCTTGGCCCATCTCCCTTTGCTTCCATTTTCAAAGTGCTGTTAATGGCGGCATTGTTTGCCTAATTGTGCAAGGTGAGGGATAAGAGTTTTTGTCCACTCATAATTAGAGCAGTTACAGTATAGCAGGGATCGGCAACATTTTCTAGCTCCCAGATGCAATGGCCTGTGCGCAAAAACAAGTAAGCATACTAAAAATCTCATAATGTTGCAAAGTATTTGATTTGCAAAAATTTGAGTGAAGAATTTATTTCAGTGGGAGCCAAAAAGAGAAATGGAGTTGTTTTGTGTATAGGCCCCCAGTTATAAACAGAACCAATATTGACTGATTATGGTAGATATGTGGAGTTTGAAGCTACTTCACATGGGACCAAGACTCTGATAATGGGAATTTATGCTCCAAATGAGGATAAAGTAACATTTTATAAAGAACTTATGGATAAACTAATGGATTTACTATATGAAAATTGGTGTTTAATGGGAGATTGGAATGGGGTAATTTGTCCACCAGAAGGGTAGAATTTCTGAGAAAGATATTAAAATGACAGGGTAAACTACCAAAAGTTGTTTTTTTTTAAATATATGATGGACAATTTACTGCTTGTAGATGGATGGAAATACAAAAATGGTGATGCAAAAGTATATACTTATTTTTCTGAAAGACACAGATCTTTTTCAAGAATTGATATGCCTTGCATATTTAAGAATTTGGTCACTAGTATTCACAAAGTGGAGTTACTGCCAAAAACCGCTTCAGACCACAACCCAGTGACTTTAGCATTAAAAGGAAAATCACTTCCTTCAGATGGAGGTTAAATGAAACATTGTTACAGAAAGAAAAAGGAGTTGAAATAATTTTTTGACAATCTTAATAAAGATACAAATATAAGGATGGTTTGGGATGCAAGTAAAGTTTTATGAGGGGACATTTTATATAATAGCAAGCTCAAAAAACAGACAAGAGAAAACACAAGCGATTTTAGATGAAATAAAAACAAAAGAAGAATTAAAGAAATCCTTAGAAAAGAAAATTATTTCACAACAAATTAAACTTTACCATGACAATTGTCCATGTTCACAGTAAGAGAAATGGAAGTAAAAATGAACTATGCAAAACAAATGAATTTTGAATTTGCAAATAAGCCAGGGAAATGGTTGGCATATAAATTGAGGAAAGAAAGGGAGAGAAAAATGATATTAAAAGTGCAAGATGGAAAGATAATAACAGATAATTAAAAGATGCAAAAATATTTCATCAATATTGTTCTAAATTATGTAAAGGAGAAGAGGTTTCCCTGGGAATGGTTGATGAATATTTAAAGAAACAAAATTTACCGAAGATCACAGAAAAACAGAAACAATTAACGAATGGGTCTATAACAATAAGGGAAGTGTGAAGCCATAAAAAAGGCAAAAGTAGGGAAAGCACCTGGACCATTGCAAAAAATGATGAATTCTATTTTACAGACTGGAAAGATAACGGACAGTTGGATAGAAGCAATTATAGCATCAATATCTAAAGAAGATCAAGATTTGACTTCACCAAAAAAATTACCACCCAATATCATGATTGAATAATGAGCATAAATTATTTGCGATGATTTTAGCTGAGAGGATGAAAATGGTCTTACAGGACTTACAGGAAATACTTCATGAAGATCAGTGTGGGTTTTTACCCAAAAGACAGTTGAGAGATAATAGAAATGTGTTAGATATTTTGGAACACTTAGAACAACATAATGAAAAACAAACTGCATTGATCTTTCTAGATGCAGAAAAGGCCTTTGACAATTTGAACGGACTTTCTTGTTTAAAATTTTGGAAATTATGGACTTTGGTGGAATTTTATTAAATGGGTAAAATCAATTTATACTCAGAAAAGGCACAGATAAGTGTAAATGGAGAATTAACAAAATCTTGTGAGATACAGAAAAGGACAAGACAAGGATGCTATGTGTCACCATTGTTATTCGTCTTAGCTCTGGAAGTATTAAATAGAAACATAAGATGAAAGAATTGCTGGAGTGAGGATTAAAAGGGAAACAGAAATTACAGGTATTTGCTGCTGATTTTGTGATAATTCTGGAAAATCCTTTGGAAGGAATAGAAATATTAATGGAAAAATTAATAGATTTTGGTGTGTTAGCTGGATTTAAAATTAATAATGAGAAAACAAAGATACTAACAAAAAGCATGAGGATAGAAGAGCAAAAAGAATTGAGGGGAAAAAACTGGTTTTAAGACTGACAAGCGAAATACTTGGGTATTACTATGACTAATATGAATTGTATGATATTTCAGAACAATTATGTTAAAACATGGAATGAAATTAAGAAGGATATACAGTACTAAGATGAGAGAAATTACAATTGTCATTGTTGGGGAGAATTTCTGTGATAAAAAATGAATGTATTGCCTAGAATGATGTTTTGTTTCAAACAATATCTATTTTGACAACTGATGTACCATTTAAGCAATGGCAGAAAGATATATCTAGGTTTGTATGGCAAGGGAAAAACCAAGGGTTAAATATAAAATGCTCCAAGGCGCAAAGGAATGAGGAGGATTGGAACTGCCTGATTTGAAATTGTATTTTGCAGCCTGTTGCTTGGTTTGGATGTGGAAGTGCGGGGTGCTGAGAAATAAGAGAATTTTAAAACTAGAAGGGCATTTCTTGAGGTTTGAATGGCATGGATTTCTGTGGTACAATAAAGTTAAAGTTAATGTAGCTTTTAAAAATCACTGTATTAGAAGTGCCATATTGAGAGTATGGAATAGATATAAACCCAGATTGTGCCTGAAAATGCCTTTATGGGTCTCAGCACAAGAAGCCTTTTATAGGAAAGAGACAGCAGGCAAAGAGAGATGGTTCACCTATTGCGAGCCGTTAGAACAAGAGCATGGAGAATATAAGATGAAATCAAGAAATCAACTGACTACAGAGTGACTTAGTTTTCAGTGGTTTTCATATTAAGATGAAGACTTAAGGTAGATAACAGTACATTTGGAACTGAACAGCACAAGACCGAATTTGAAATTGAACTGTGTAGAAATGATGAACATGTAATTGCTAAAATATATAAACTTGTGTTGAAATTTGAAACGGAAGAAGAACAAGTGAGAGTATATGATAAAATTTATGTTGGAAATGTGGAAAACATTAATGGTCTTTATCATGCCTGGTGGACTTGCAAAAAAGCCAGAAAATTTGGGGTTCAAATTCAGTGGGGCAAAAAAGTATTTAGTCAGCCACCAATTGTGCAAGTTCTCCCACTTAAAAAGATGAGAGAGGCCTGTAATTTTCATCATAGGTATACCTCAACTATGAGAGACAAAATGGGGGAA